GTTAACATTAATTTTACATTTTTATTGATTTTTCCCTAACTCTTACTTTGAATTATTTTGACTATAGAAGAGTTACATAAGCAGTGCAATGAATCGGAATACACTTCATGCAGATTGGTTGATTCTCAATATTCTGCCTCATTAGCCGGCACGGTGGTGCATGTCTCTTAATTCCAGCACTCAGGAGGCTGAGGCGGGAGGATCATTGTGAGTTCAAGGCCAGCCTGCACTGCATAGTGAAACCCTGCCTCACAAAGACAAAATAAAAAAAAGAAAGAAAAACAGAAAAGAATATTCTGCCTCATTTGCCTTTTCTCTCTGTCTCCTCCCACCCCACTCTGGTATTTCAGGCATCTTTTCCAGCTTCTATCTACCTTTTCTGTTGTTGTCAGCTGACCAGTGAAGCCTTTTTTGGGAGAGAAGTCACAACTGGAGATGAAGCCAGATAGGGCCAGGTCTCCCGAGGCTGAGAGAGCCCGCGATGCAGCAGTCTGCTTGCTGCAGCTGTAACAGAATAAAAGGCGGGCTAAGTTATAATGCACAGAAGTGTATTTGGCTCATGGTTCTGGAGCCTGGGAAGGCCAGCAGCGTGGCACAGGCATCTGGTGAGGTCCTTCCCTCCATGCCATCCCTTGGGCGATGCTGGAAGAGTAGGACATTGAGGAAACAAGAGGGCGAGAGGGGCTGAACTTGCTTCTAGAACAACACACCCTGGTGAACAGCGGGCCACTCTGGTGGTGCCGCATGAGCCCGTCTCCTGGGACCACTCGCCTCTCTACTGCTGCTCTGGGAGCTCAGTTTCCAGCCCATGCACCTTGGGGATGCACTGGAACCACAGCAGCAACCATTCTCTCCTGTAACTCTGCAAACTCAAGGAAACTTAACAACAGTTGGGTTTAGTCCTGGGGCTGCCAGTTTGAGGTCCTTGTCTTAGGGCAGGGTGGGAAGAGGCTGCTATGTGGGGTCCCTCATCCCAGCTACGTGGAGCCCAGAGAGGCTGGAATTACTGCTTCCCAGTCATTCCTGCTCACACCTGGGCCACGGTCACCCGCCCAGGCCCCCACTGACAAGCTAGCTGGTCCAGGCCTGCCGGCAAGTCTGCTCCTCCAAGGCCAGACTTGGAGCGCCCGGATAGGAGCTCTGCCCTTCTGGTGGATGGAGGGACTGGGGAAGGAGAAGAACACCTTCCTTTCATCACTAATCAAGACATCATGAGCACTGACTATGTGGTAGAGATTGGTCCCTAATTCAGATGAAAATCAAGGCGGGGCTCATGTACTACAGGAGAGCAAAGAGAAGTTTCCTGGAACATGTGCTGGGGAGGGCATGGAAAGGACAGGACGGGAGAGAGGATTCCAGATAGGGTCAGGCCGCATGGGAAGGGAGCCTTTGAGCCAGGACTTGAAGAAGATGAGGGAGTAAGCCATGCAGAGATGGGGGAAAGAAGCCAGCGGAGGATCCGGCTGCGGGAGCGCTGGGACAGAAGGATGCTGGGAATGCTCCAGGAATTATTATGCCCATTACCAAGCGAGGACTGCATGATCATTTTAAATATGCCTGCCTCAGATGAGTCACTCCAAAAGAGACCCAGCCCCTGACAGCAGGAAGCCCCTGGACTTTACTCTACTGCCCTCCAAGAGCGTCTCAGGGAGCAGGTGCACACAGGAGTCTCCGGGTCTTCCAGGCAATCAGGAAGGTGATCAGAAAGGCAATCAGCCATGCTCAGATATGCAGTCCTATGCATATCTGAGCATGGCATGCTCAGGTCCAGCCTAAGAAGAAATTTGTGGTTGGCATAGGTTGGGTATAAGCCCCATAAACATCTAAGCTTCAGGATGGAAGATTGTGGCAGTCAAAGGTTCAGAATATGAGCTTGGCGAACTGAAAGCAGTCTTTAGATGTGTTTTGTTTCACCTTCATAATATTTTTTTTGGAGACAGGGTCTTGCTATGTAGTTCAGGCTGACCTTGAACTCACTATGTAGCTCAAGTAGGCCTCAAACTTACAGTGATTCTCCTACCTCAGACTCCCAATTGCTGGGATTAAAGGCATACCCCACCACACCTGGTTTGTGTAGTTATTTTATAAAATCCTAGCCCACCTTTAATACTGGAAATTCTCCATAAACATTCAGATTTTTGACACCAACTGAAAATACAGCAGCCATTGGCTGGAACTGTGTTGCAATGTCCTTCAAGGGTTTTAATTATAATTTGTTAAAGGCTGTACATCTTCAGGATCTAAAATTCAAAGGAGAGCAGAGCATGGTACTGCACATCTGCAATCCCAGCACTGGGGAGGCTGAAGCAGGAGGACTGCAAGTTCAAGCTCAGTCTGGGTTCACAGTGAGACTTTGTCTCGAAAACATTAGTTAATTAAAACAATTCAAAGGGTACAAGAGGGCATATGATGATGGCTGAGTCTTGCTTCCATTACATCCTCCAGCCTCCCAAGTCCCCTCCCCAGAAGGAGCCATGGTGCAAACTCCAAAGGTATCTTATTCCTACTTGCTTATATGCCTGTACAGTCCTTCCCCCTCACAAAGGTAGCACACGCAGCAATTTCCCTACACCTTGCTTTCTTCCTTTGGCAAATTTACCCAGCTAGCACCGCACCTTATGGTCTCACACCTGTCCTGCTTCAAAGCATTCGCAATTCTTGCCCGGCTCCTTTGGCATCTGAGAGCACACAGGTAGGAACGAAGGGTGAAGGACTTGCCTTCCGGGGAACTCAGCATGTGCCACCTCCTGCTCTCTGGTGCCTGTAGTTCTGGATCTTTCCAGCAGAGGGAGACACCACTCCACTCCCAAGACCACCAAGGGGTCATTACCCCCGGAAGTTCAAGCTTGATGGATCTGGGGAAGAGATGTGGTGGGAGGAGGCACAAAGACCCTCTTAACTGGCCTGGTCCACATACCGCCCCTCATCCACCCTCCCTGGGAGCTCTGTTTCCTGTTTCTATCACCCCCTGCACTTCCTGCTTGGGGTGTCACACTAATGCCCCCTTTTCTCCTTGTAGGGCCTGGCCCCTCCTTAACGGGGGTGGCTGGAGGCCTTGTCCTAGGGCCTGGAACTGAGAAACTGCCAGAGGGGAGCATTTAAAGAAAGTGCCTATCTGGGCGAGCCTTGCTTGCACCTGCCCTCCCTCCCTGATCACAGGTGGGGTCCTTCTCCCTGCCCCCAGCAGACCAGTGCCCAGCAGAGCTGTGACCCCAAACCCTCCTTCTCTGTCCTGCTCTGCGCACTCCCAAAAGCACCCTGTCCCTGGCCTGGCGCCTGAGGCCCTCGTCCCCACCCCCATGAGGCTGTTGGCGGTCGCCTGGAGTCCAGCTGGTGGCTGGGGTAGAACCACCCCTTCGCTGGCCTTGCCCCTCCCTGTGACCCCAATCCTCCACCAGCCACTCAATGGGGCCTTGTTCTCCATCCAGCCCCCGGACAAACGTCCCTCTGTCTCAGAAGGCGGAATTGGGGGGAGAGGGCACCCCCAGCAGGGGACCATGTGGGGGCCAGTTCAGACCCCAGAGGGAAGGAATGCCGTGAAGAGGGGGCAGGATGGGGAGGAGTGCAGAGGAGCAGCGAGCCTAGCACCGTGTGGGCTCCCATCTAGGTGGGAGGCCACCCTACCTCAGGCCACCGAGCCCCGGCACCCTTCGGAGGAGCGCGGACTAGGGTCTCTGGCTTGGTTTTGGGGGAGCAGTTCTAGAGTCTCCCCAAGGCGGCATGGGAGGTGCACCCTGGTCCAAAGCCCCACAGCTCCCCCACCGGTCCCACCCCTACTGCTGTTGCCTTATCTCCCTGACATCTTGACTGAAATCTTCTCAGCATCCTCTCCTGACCCTTGACCTATGTCAACAGTGAGACTTGGTCTTGGAGGGGACTTTGTATCCCCCAGGATTGCCGGCCACCCGCCCCCAAGCAAAACGCACAGTCAAAATCCAAGAAGTGAGCTTGTTACACTGATGTCACCTTCCTTCATGGCCCTGCCAGATGGAAGTCTGCCACTAAAGACCCCCAGCACCTGCCCCCATCAAGGTCCCTCACAGAGTTCACGGGATTGGAGAAAGTCCCTCCCTACTTTGAGGGATCAAGTTCCAGCTTGTCCTGCTCTCCCTCCACCTCACCTGAGGCTGTTGTGGCCTTGGTGACTCCAGGGAGCTCCCTGTCCGAGGAGCTGGGGAGGGGGAGGAGCTGTCCCTTTAAGAGAGGAATGCGGTGGGGGAGCCCCCGAGCCTTGGAGACGGAGACCGGCTGGTTCTCTACCTGCCCAGGTTTGCTCAGGGCGTGGCAGCTGCGGATAAAGACTCCGGCTTGGCAGTTGCTTTCTCGCTTTCTCCCAGTACCTCCTCCTCCACCCAGCCGGGAGCCACAGGTGAGCGGCTGGGGTCTCCTCTTCCCAAGTCCCCCGTGGCTCTGCCCCCAAACTCTCCCTGCCTCTCCCCTGGCGGCCCCTACCACAGAGAAGCTCTGCTGTGAGAACCCTTAGGACCTTCCCCCTTTTAGATCCTTTTCTGGGGAAGGAGGTTGGAGAAAGTACCCTCTCTTCCCCCGGGTGATCTTCCCCCTCATTCTCTGAGGTGCTTGCACAGCTGGGGCGAGGGCTGGACCCATTCAGTGGGGGCTTGGGACAGCTGGGATGGTGGATGCGGTAGACTGGAGGTGTTTGAATGGGCCAGAGATTTAGGTGCATTGGATGGAGCGGGTGACGGGTGGACAGAGGGTGTTGGGGCATGGGAGTCCCGGAGACTACTAGGACTGGGGGTGGGGGCTCCTGGAGAAGCGATAACATGGGGAGCTGGCTAGGAGATTTGGGGGATACAGAGGAGGAAGTGCCATGAGAGAAGGCACATAGAGGGCAGGTGATGCAGGTGGTAAAGAATTTACCAAGGCCAGAACAAAAAGGAGGATAAAGTTTGTTCAGGTCAGAGTCAAGAGAAAGAGAAGGCAAATTTGCAAGAGAGGAATCGCACCACGAGGGTGAGAGATTGGGGTTTTTGTCAGAGTTTGAGGACATGGAAAAAGTGTCTCGGTAGTAAATGGGATTGTCTGAAAAAAATGTCTTTTTCTGGATCATTGAGTGTCTCGTAGGTCTCCCAGGGGCGCCAGCGCCGTGTCTAAAATTGTGTGTTTAAAGTTGCAATTTGACAAGGTCGATTCTTTGGCTCTCCCAGAAGGCCTTTTAGCTTCGGATACGGAGGTACAGGCACACCGACTTCAGAGGTGGTCAGAGCTTGTGGGGAGTAAGGGGTCTTACATGAAAAGTCTGTTTTCAGGGCTGGAGATTTAGCTCAGCGGCACAGCGCCTGCCTGGCAAGCGCAAGGTCATGAGTTTGATTCCCGGTACCCTCCCCCAAAAAAGAGAAGTCTGTTTTCATCTGGTGTGGTTTCCGCCAGCGTTGCTCTATCAGCTCATGGCTGCGGGTACAGCTGGGGGAGGCTGTAAGGCAGGCATTCTGCCGTAGGGGTTCAACCCTTTTGTTGCCAGAGGGTACTTACTACAAGGACCCTTCCACATACCCCAGAACATGGCCTTCTTCACCACCATTTTTGGACAGTAAAGGGGACAGTGGAGGGCAGATGGCAGAAGCAGGCCTTGGGCCGGAGTTGGGACCTCTATGGCGGGGAAGGAACAGAGGTGGTTGGACAGACAGCCCCCAGTGCTGGCTGCTTCCTCTCTGAGCCACCTGTGGTCATTCAGAAACAGACACAGGCCTCTGGAACAGGACGGCCAGAGAGGGCAGATGCCCAGCACCTGGCTCCCGGCAGCCTCCAGACGGCCTGGCCTGGGAATCCTTGGGCAGAGACGGGGGCGTGGCCAAGACATCCCTTGCCTCCCGTCTCTGAGGCTTCTGGTTTCATGAGAGTTGGGGGAGCAGCGTCTCCCAGGCCAGGGGGATCCCGGAGGAGCCCATGGAAAGAGACTTCAGTCACTAGGTACCAGCACAGGGCATCAAGCTGAATTAGCTGGGGTGGGGCAGTTCTCGACAACAATGATGGAGCCTTCTTCACCAAGCTGGGAGATGAGTGAGTCAGAGTCAAGAGCCAAGAAAAGGCCTGCATGGGGCGAGCACTCAACGAACATCCAAGGTTTCTGCTAGCAATGGGATCAACCCGTGAAAGTCAGCCTCCTGAGGCGGCTTTAGACAACAGACTGGCCAGCTGTGGGCCTGTGCCCCTTCCCACCATCCACTCTGGCTGTCCCCAAACCTGCCTGGGGCCGTAGACGCCTGGGTAATGCTCTCTAAAGTGGCAGGTTCTCTTCCTGCAAATGAGAGTTGCTCTCACTCTGGAGGCTGGGGCAGGAGGACTGCCTTGGTTTTGAGGCCAGCCTGGGCTACCTAGTGAGACGTTGTCTAAAAAGAAAATAGATAGTTGCTCAAACTAGAGTTATGGATCCAGCATCTGGAGTTAGTGGGGAAGCTGGGGGGAGTCCCAGGCCTGGGGTGGTCACGAGAGATGCAGGATGCTGCAGACTCACAAGACACAGCTGAACCACGGTGCTGGACAGTGCCATCCCCTCTCTGAGCATGGGTTTTGCCATTGCTGAAATGCGGGCGGGAAGCTGGGTGTTGGTGGCGCAGGCCTATAATGGCAGCACTCTGGGAGGCTGAGGTAGGAGGATCACAAGTTTGATTCCAGCCTGGGCAACTTAGTGGCTTAATAAGGCACTATGTCAAAGTAAAAAATTAAAAAGGGCTGGAGATGTAGCTCAGTTCTGGGCTCAATCTCCAGTACTTCGGGAGGAAGAAAGGAAGGGAAAGGAAGGAAGGAAGGAAGAAGGGAGGGAGGAAAGGAGGGAAGGAAGGAAGGAAGGAAGGAAAGAAGGAAGGAAGGAAGGAAGGAAGGAAGGAAAGAAGGAAGGAAGGAAGGAAGGAAGGAAGGAAGGAAGGAAGGAAGGCAGAAGGGAGGGAGGAAGGAGGGAAGGAAGGAGGGAGAGAAGGAGAAAAAAAGGAAGAAAGAGAAAGAAGGAAATGGGGACTGGAGATGACCTTAGGGGTTGCTGGGGATTGAATGTGTGAAAACACAGCAAGGTCAAGGGCAGTGTCCCCGGCAGGGGAGTGGGGTGTTAGCTTTTGCTATCAAGACTATGACACTGCACGCCGGCAGCAGCCGGGCAGGGGTGGGGAGTGGGCAGGGGACGCACAGGGACAGGGAGTTTGTGCGGCCAGGCAGCATGGAGGAGGGTAGCATGGCTACTGGGCCAGGACGGGGTAGCAGTGCTCTGTGTGCTGGGCAGGCCTCCCCGGGGAACGAGAGAGTGCGGGGTGGCAGCAGGAGCCTGGTAAGGCCTGGGGCAGGGGCAGGGGCTGGGGTGGGGGCGACCCAGAGTCTGAGGGAGATGGGCTTGGGCTGTCCTAGGACTAGGGCTGGAGAGGGTCCTGTGAGGGCTGAGGGCAGGGACAGGCTGGGACGAAGACGGAGCCGCAGCTGCAGCCAGGACCCTTACCCCTGTCCCGGCCTGGCGTTAGCTCCTCCCCACCCCGTCTACAGAGCCTGGGCAGAGCCGGGCAGGCTCCGAGCTGTCTATGCGGACACTCCCCAGAACCCGGGCCTCCAGCCACCTGGCTCCCAACACCCCACTTCCCAAAACACCCCGAGGCCCCAGCAGGCCTCAGTTAGGAGCAGCCCCTGGGGAGCCGGGCGTGGTTGAAATCCTGCTTCCTTGCCAAGTGATCCTGGCAACAGTTTTCACCCCTTTCGAGCCCAGTTTCCTCATCTCACAGAGGGGGTAACGGTGGGCAGCGCCCCCCTCACTTGGTTGCTGGGGCTGTCCACTTAAGAGCCTGAGAGCTCCGTCTGACGAGTGACACAGCCGCCCCTCTTCCGGCCTGAGTCCTCACTTGGTCCCGCTTGACTCTGGGGCTCGCTCTTCCCTCAGCACCGTCGTCCTGCGCGGACCCTGGGCGGCGCCCTGTTGGTGTGGAGCGGGGCCACGGGGTGAGAGCCAGAAGCACAGGGCCCAGCACCCTGATGGCCCTGCTAAGTCTGGACCCCCTCCCTGGCCTCCTCTAGGGCAGCGTTCTGACATGCAAGAGGTGGCCCTGAGCCTGCTGGTCTTCCTGGCCGGTGAGTATGTGGCCCTTAAGATGCCTTTTCCCCTGGACCCCAGCTGGGTGGTGCCAAGCTGTGTGCTCACACACTTGCTCCTGTCTCCCCGGGGTGGTGAGGGGTGGCCGCTGGGGACAGCATCCCCTCAAGGGTAAGAAGTGTCACACTCATGATTTCAGGGGACACACAAGGACAAGACTTCTTTTTTTTGTCTTTTTGAGACAGGATCTCGCTCTGCAGTTCACGCTGGTCTTGAGCTCACTTTGTAGCCCAGGTTGGCCTCAAACTCACAACGATCCTCCTGCCTCAGCCTCCTGAGTGCTGGGATTACAGGTGTGCACCACCATGCCCGGCTCAAGGCCTTTTATAGCGGTGGCTCACATAACTAGAAAAAGTCACCATCTTCCCCATTTTCTTGTATGACTGAAGACATCGAGGGGAGAAGGCTCAGCCCAGGGTTCCTTTAACACCTCTGAGCTTGGTGGTGATGTAGCAAGTGACCAGGACACTTTGTGCCTCAGTTTCCTCATTTGTAAACCTAAGAGGATAACAACACCTCCTCACAGAGTCATTGCAAGGATTAAACAAGTTAGTATGTGAAAAGCACGTAGAACGGTGCCTAGCCCAGAATCAGCATGTGTGTTGGTGCTGTAAATATAATTTTTCTTTTTTTATAAATCCAACTCAGGACCAGGAATCCAACTCAGGACCTTGCCCTTGCCGGGCAGGCGCTGTGCCGCTGAGCTATATCCCCAGCCCTGTAAATATAATTAAAAATGATTAATCTCCCTTTCACAACATTCAGGCCCAGACAGGAGGCAGCACAGTGCTTTTAGCCAGAAGGAGACCCTTGCTCTTTGCTTTCATTGCATTTCTTTCTGCCCGTTGTGTTGGGCAAGACCAGGAGTCCATTCGGGCAGGGGTGTAAAGTGGCATTTTATATGAAGCGTGTTCAAGCTGATGGCAGGGAGTCTCTCTGCAGGGGAATGGTGAGCCAGCTTGGCGACAGGTGGGCAGTGCGTGCTGCAGAGTCAGGAGGGTGGACTCTGAGCGCGGCTGGTGTGGGGGAAACGGCCCTGGGAGCAGAAGCCATCTGTCGTCTTGATGAGAAAAGTCCTCTGTTTCTGCGGAGGCCTGGGTTAGCCATGTGTCTAGAAATAGTCAACCAAATGCTGGGCAAAACCACTAGAACTTGTTTTGCTCGAAGGCGTGGGGCTGGGTGGGTGAGTCCCTGGGTCCGTGATGCCCAGGCAGCCAGGCTGGAGGTGATAACTGTCTCCAGGGGAGGCCCGAGGCTGCATGGCCCTACTCAAGAGCTCTGCTGGGGCCAGCATCACCATGACCCCTCTCCCCGCTTGTCCCTCCCCCAGGCCTGCCTGCCCTGGATGCCAATGACCCAGAAGGTGAGTCAGGGGTGTCCCACTTGGCCCCCAAATTCTCCCTGGGGTCCCTGCCGTGGAGTGCTGTCCTGTATCCACGTTCTTTTCTCTCTCTTTGCAGATAAGAACAGTCCTTTCTACTATGGTGAGCGCTCGTCTTCACCACCTCCCTACCCCACACACTATTCTGTACCAACAGTGCCACACGGGGTTGGCTGAGGTCTGATGTGGGTGATCCAGGGGCCAGGACAGGAAGGGGCTAAAATTAGGGCACTGAACCTTAGCAGCGCTGGATTAGAAGAACAAAAGATGCCAGTCTGGCCCAGGGGAGGATTCTATGCCAGCAAGGCAGTTAGGCACAGGCAGGAAGTGAGGACAGTCCACAGAAGGCCATTAGGTTCAACCAATCGCTGGGAGAAGGGCTGACAGGAGGCATCTTCCTGGAAGAGGTGAGCGATTCAACCCAAATGATCATTCTACCTCCAGATTCTACTGAGCCACTCCTTCCCTCCTGCTCCTCCGTCCTCACTTCCTTTCCTGCCCCTTACTCCTGCTCCAGCCACCCTGGCCTCCTGCTGGTCCTCAGACGCAGCAGACAACTGCAGCTGCTCACCCTTGTGCATGGCACGTTTCTTTCACACATCCACCTCCTGCAGATATCTGATCAATGTCAGCATCCGCAGAGAGCCCTTCCCCAATCACTCTCCCTCAAGAGCTGCCTGCTGACTGTCCATCCCTTGCCCTGGTTATTTTCCTTCCAATCGCTTAGCTCCACCTGACCTGACAAGAAACGTCCTGTTTGCGTGGATATAGACTAGACTGCGTGCACCAGCCCGGCTGGGGTTTTGGTTTGCTGTCTTACTCCACATCCCCAGAGCCCTGCACACTGTAGACGCTCACTACACATCAGCCAAGTGGGTGGGGGCAGTTGGATGGGGAGGGCCGGGGTTGGCCTTGAGGTCCTCTCTGCTCTTCTCCCAGACTGGCACAGGCTCCGGGTCGGCGGGCTCATTTGCGCAGCGGTTCTGTGTGCCATCGGCTTCATTGTTCTCTTGAGTGAGTGCAGGAGCTGGTGGGGGGTGGGGCTGGCAGGGCTGTGTGTCCCCTCCTCTGACCACTTCCCTTCCCTCCACAGGTGGGAAATGCAAGTGCAAGTTCAGCCAGAAGCCCAGGTAAGATGTGTCCCGGGCAGGCCTGCCTTGCACAGCACTTTCCAGGGTGAGAAAGCTAAGTTTTGCAGAAAGAGCACAGGCCTCTGGGCTCTGCCACTATGATTTCTCAGGTTTACTGTTCATAGCGCATGATCCCCAGAGGGCCCCACATTCTGAAATGCCATAGTCCCTTAGCGCTGTACAAACCAGCACCAGAAAGACAGCCAGCAAGCAATGTCTGGGCAAGCTGCGGCATCTCTAACCCAGAGGGACAGGACAATCGGGGTGGGTATGGATCTCACCACTTTTATTTCCTCAGTCACCGTCCAGCAGATGCCCCGCCTCTCATCACTCCAGGTAAGACAGGCAGTACGGTGCCGAGGGCAGCGTGGGGAGTAGGAGTAGGGGTGTGGGTGTGGGTGTGGGTGCGTGCCTGCATGCACTGGGGAGAAAGGGCTCTGTCTACCCTCAGGCTGACCCTGTCACCTCTCCCAGGCTCTGCTCACAACTGCTGAGGACCAACCAACCAGAAGAGCACGGAGAGCTTTTTCTATCCCCGTGCCCTGGCTTTCCACAGGACCCTCACCCCCAGGGTGGCACCCCTCCTCTCCTCAGATGCCGCGCCAGGGCTGCGCCTTGCCTCTCATGGAAGGGGATTCTGTGTTCAGTGTTTAATATAAAATGATCTTGCCTCTGGTCAAGGTGGCCACAAGACTCCCGTCCACGCACTGGGGCGGGGGCGGGGGCAGGGGCAGGTGGAGGTGGGCCCCTGCTGAGGGTGGCAGAGCAGCTGGGAGCTGATTCTCTGGTTGGGAAAAGGCCAGGGCCTCATGGCCTGGTGGAGCTCACAGGGCCTGCTCCCGGCCTCCACAGCCAGGGGAACCTCCTGTGCAGCTGAGGAGGTTCTAGTGGCACATGGGGAACAATTTTGTGACTGAGAGCCCTAACTGGATGGATTGCTGGGGCACTCAGACAGACACTGGACGCATCCAGAAAAGCAAGGACCTAGGGTCAGCCTACCATTCTGGAAGTGCACAACAGTTTGAGTACAACCGTAAAGACCTCTAAGGCCCTCTCACTCACCCCTGAAACTCCACTTTATTATGAGACCCTTACGAGTACCCAGACGTCCCTGTGAGACCTCCGTATCATAGGGGGTCCCCATTACACCCCTGATAATACATACTGGCCACACAGTGTGAGATTCTCCACTGAGCCTCAAATTCCCTTGACTCCCCAATAGCCCGTAAAGCACCCAAAATGTTCCCATCAGCCACCCCCATCAAATTCCCAAAACTCTCCAAAACACCTAAAATATCTCCTATAATGCCCTTAAGACATGACCTGGAAAAAGACACCCATAATAATCTTGTGACCTGTTTCCTAATCATACCTAACACGACACGATCCCAAGAGCACCCCACCCACCCACAGTCCCTAGGGACCCCCGGGAGGGGTCAAACTCCTCCCTGCGATCTCCTTTTCAAACACCACCCGCACCCCACGCCATTCAAAAAATCCCCTCCCAGTGATCCCACAGCAACTGGCGGGGCAGGTGCACAGTGCCATTTATTGAGCTCACACACTTTTTGTCTTTGGCCCTGGTGTTCTTTGGGGAGGGGTACCAGGGGCTTCCCGCTACACCTCTCAATTTCGACTTTTTCCTTACCTGCCACCCAAGCACGCGCACGCGCAAGAGGGAGGAAACGCCGGGGAACAGCTTCTGGCAGCAGACATGCGCACAAGCAGCAGAGGGAATTACCATCCGGCAGGGAAAACTACCCTGCGACTGTGACGTCATGGAGGCGGGCACTTCCCCATTAATGCGATTGGCCAGACTGAGTTTGAAGGGGAAAGATAGGCTCTCACTTTAACTTTCCTAGGGAGCAGGTAGGTGGGAAGACATCTAGCTGATAACCTCTAGATATAACCGAAACTCTACACATCTCCCCACCTTGATTCTGTATTCCGGCTCCCAGCCTGAGCTCCCAAGTTACCTGGGAGGCTGTGCCATGCTGGAAGGTCAGCTCAGAAGGTCCAGCAGCTGTGACCTTCCCCTTACCCCAGTCGGCTCAGATCCTCGAAGAGGTGGGCTAAAGCCTGGACCTGTGGCTGGTGAACTTGGCCTGCGGTCAGTATCTCACAGCCTGGCTAGGGCCAGGAGGCCAGGTAAGAGGGGATCCAGACTCACAGGCTCCCCATGCCAACCCCCAGCCACGTCTAAGGTCCTGTCCAGTCTCAGGCACTGAGGTCCAGCTCATGATGCTGGTAGATCTGTGTGGGGCCCTTGAAACAAGCTGCAAATAGGAAGCGTCTGCCGGCTAAGGTGATGTGGGCAAAGGCGCGGGGGGCCACCAAGGCCGGGGGCCCCAGCTCCTGCAGTGGCTCCAAGAGCCCTTTATCTGACTCAAGGCGAAAGACCTGGCTGAAGGCAAAGTCACTCCCCAGGATGGCCAGCTGGTCCCTGGCGATGAGCAGCGGCTGGAATACATGGGCGCCTCGTGAGGGAAGTTTCTGCAGCAGGCGGAACATGGACCCATCCCAGCGCATGACCTGGGGGCAGGGCAGCTGGTTAGGACCAGGGTCCCAGGGGCCAGGCCTGCCTGTTGTCCTCAAGGCTCAGGAGGACTTGGCACAGCTTGGAAACAGGTCCCCCCAATCCTTCATTTTAAACTTTATAAATGTCACCACTTTTGGGTTGGGGGATGTAGCTCAGTGGTAGAGCACTTGCCTAGCACATTCAAGGCCCTGGGTTCAATCTCCAGTAGCCTCCAAAAATAAAAATTAATGTCACCACCCAGCTGTTCAGCTGTTCTTGAGCCTCCTCTTCCTCACACCATACATAGAAGAGTCAGCAGTAGAATCTGTTGGTTTTACCTACAATAGTTATAACATTTCTCCACCTGCTCTGGTCACACCTTGGCCCATCCTCCACCCTCTCCAGCCTCCTCCCTGCTGCCTGTCTCCCAGCCCTGTCCCCAGTCTGTTCCCCATCAGAGACTGTCAACTCCAGAGTCCTTCTAGACTGCGAACGCTCCTCTAGCTGCACCTCGCTCTGGAAAGAGTGCTGGGAATGGGGGTGGCACAGGGTGGGCAGGGCCTATCACCACTGTCAGCCCTGGGGTCTGGGGTCAGGGTGGGGAGGGGTGAGGCTGTGGTTAAACATCCCAGAATGTGTCTGAGTTACAGAGCCAGAGCTGGTGTGTGTGTAGGGCTGCGGAATCCGTCTCGGGAGCAGTGTCAGTATGAGGAGAGGAGTTTAGAGTCAGCTAGCCTTGAAGGGCGCACAGCATTGGACTCACTGTTGGAAGGGTCAGAATTCAAAGGTCAGCATGTGAGGCCAGGTCAGAGGTTAGAGGTTAGTGTGCCCGAAAGGCTCAGTGCTGAAATGCCCATGGTGGGATGGTTGTGCTGGATAACCTGGCTGCCCGCCCACCTGGCTGGGTCCAGCCTCACCATGGAGTCCCCGATGTAGCGTGTCAGGCACAGGAACACATCCCCACCAGCCTGGAAGTGGCGTGTGGCATAGACGTCCTCGGCCTCAGGGATGTCCGTGCGCCTCTCAAAGCGGCCACCAACCCAGTGGAAGAGCACTGGGCGCTGGGAGGCAGAGGCCAGCAGCAAGTGGGGGCGGCCGTCCAGCTCCAGGACCTCGGCATCCGTGTCCCGGTGCCAGGCATGCAGGCTCTGGCGGGGGTAGAAGCCAGGCCCGTCGCGACAGAGCAGTGTGGTGCTGCCCGCCTTGGAGGCATCGGCCACCACAAAGCAGGGCTGCTCGTCCAGCCACAGGATCTCAGCGTCGTTGGGCCTCAGAAGCCGCCGTGGGGCCAGGGCCTGCAGCGGGGCCAGGCGCAGGTCGGGGCTGGGCCTTGCCCATAGCTGGGAGCCTCCCCACAGGCGGGCGGCCAGCACGAGGAGGCGTGGGCCCAGCACCAGCGGCTTGCAGGACACCACCGAGGGCGCTGTGGGCAGCGGGAGGCGGTCAGGCCTTTGGGCAGACTGGCGGCAGGCAAGAGGGGATGCAAGGGGGCTCACCTGACAGCTCCTCCTCTGGCCGGAAGCGCTGCAGGCTGTAGTCCCAGGTGAGGATCAGGCAGCGGCCTGCGAAGGGCTGTGCCAGGACGATGTGGGGCTCCCCCTGGTAGGAGAAGGGCTCAACACCCAGGGCCGACTCCCGGACTGTCTGGAACCAGGACAGCTCTGGGACGGCAGGGGAGAGTCAGGCAGGCCCAGGAGACCCCAAGGGTCCTCACGGAGCCTATCTCTGCCATGAGGGCCATTCATGGTGCTCAACTTGTAGGGTTATATAGCAAAAATCTTTTTTAATGTATAAATATATTAACTCACAATGTGAGTTGTATTTTCTAAGCTATTTGGCATCATTAAATAATCCTTCAGAAACAACATGTCTAATTTTTGGGTGGTGGTGGCGCTCAGATTGAACCCAGGGCCTTTGCCATGAATTACATCCCCAGCTCCATTTTATTTTTCATTTTGAGGTAAGACCTCGCTGAGTTGCTAAGTTGCTGAGCCTGGCTTTGAACTTGGGGTCCTCCTTCCTCTCCCTCCCAGAGTGCTGGGATTACAGGTAATCGTTCATTTAACTTGATAACGTTCCTGTGAGGCATATTCTGTGATGGTCTCTGCAGGTGAGGCAGCTGAGGCCAAGTGCCCCAGGAAGCCAGCTGTCCAACAGAACCCATCCCTCTCATCTTCCCTGACGCAAGCGTGGCACTGCCCACCAGGGGGCTCTGCCTGAAGCCACGCTGCCCTGGCGCCCCTACCAACCCCTTGCCGGGAGTTAGGTGTGGGCATGTCAAGACCAAGTTCCCAGTGGACAGGAGCAGAAGTATAACTTGCTTGTGTGAAAACGGCTTATCCTGGACTTGTCCTCCTTCCCTCCCTTCTCACAAGATGGTACACGGGTGTGTTACAGCCCAGCGTCAACCACGCACACAAGGACATTGCACAGAAGCTGTCCCGCCCACCTGGACAGCTCATCTCGGTCCCATCTGTCTTCCCTGACTTGCGGTATTTTGAGCCTCTTTGTTAGAACAGCTCAGCTTCCAATGGAACTGGCTTTCAAAGTCCTGCACAGTGAAGCCTCTGCCACCTTTGACCTCGCGGTGTCCCTCTTTTCCCTCAGTCCCCCCAGCACACCTGTTTTCCTTTGATCATCGAACAGGACAGGCTCCAGGCTGCCTCAGGGCCATTGCTCATGCTGGTCCCTCTCTACCGAGTGTCCTTCCCTCTTTCTCCCCTAGCTAAACGTAGGCCCAGTGTGCCCTCTTCAGAGAAGCCTTCTCTGAGCCCCTGTAAGAGAGGACTCCCTCTTAACATCTCCTCACTTCCTGTATTTATCACCACGTGTAGCGTGTACTTACTTGGGCCATATTTTATTTAGTGTCTGCCACTCTAAGCTCCCAGAACTGGAAATCACAGGACTTGGGTCACCAGTGCGCCCCTTACCTCTTGTAGGGCCAGGCACAGTGTGAACCTCACTGAATGTTTGTTGAATAACTCAATAAAGAGTGACCCCGGGGCTGGGAGTATAGCTCAGTGGTAGAGCACTTGCCTAGCATGTGCAAGGCGCTACACTCATTCCCCAACACAGCCAAAACTAAACAATGAGTCTTGAGTTAAATCCCGCATTCTATGAGTTCCCCAGCACAAAAATGATTCTTACAAACAGACAATAATTACTACTACAGTTGAACCCGGGTCTTCTCACTGAGCTATACCCTCAGCCTCTTTTCCCTTTTAACTTGAGACAGGGTCTTGCTAAGTCACCCAGGCTGGGCTCAAATTTGTGATCCTCCTGCTTCAGCCTTCCAGAGAGCTGGGATTACAGGCATGCATCACCACACCCAGCTACTATTGTTACTATTGTTATTTTATTAATAGCATCTGTGTGGAGACCTTCAAGGCCAGCCCCCCTTTCCTGACCCCCAGCTCTGTGTGGTCCTGGCTCTGGCTCTCAGCTCCCATGGCTTCCTCTGCCCTGGTCTGACCCCTCTCTCTCTGTGCCTCCTCTAGGCCACTTTGGACCATCCTGGGTGGCCGCTGTCCCGGGTGCCCTGCTTTCTCTGGACCATGGGATTTGGGAGGGGCTGTGTTTACCACTGCTGTTTTCTCTGCACTGCCCTGCACCTAAAAAGGTAACAGAATGCCTTTGTGGAAAAGCAAAAGGAAAGTAAATATTAGTGAAGTGACGTGGCACATGCAGGTCCCAGCACAATTCCTGATACGTAGGAAGAATCTTAAAATGGTTAGTTTGGTATCAACGAGAATGAACACGTAAGGGCCTCTTGTCCCAGGCCCTGTGTCATATGCTGTTCAGGCATAGACACATCATTCAGTCCTCACAGCAATCCTCAGCACTGTTTATTACCCCATTTTACAGATGAGGAAACTGAGGCTCAGCTGGTAATGCTATGTACTCAAGGTCTCCCAGCCAGAAAGTGGCAGGGCAGGGGTGAGGTGCAGTGCTGCAGCCCTGGCAGCCTTTGCCTCTGCTCTCCTGATTTCCTCTGGGACCCTTGCTGTCCCTCCCACTCTGCTGGGAAAGCCCCCACCTATTCCTCTGCACTTGAACATCTTGGGGTCCAGGTGGCGGAGCTGCATGTGGGTCAGGGCGGCTGGGCCCGCACAGTCCCCGGTCCCCACGCTGGCGTTCACGGTGGGCATCCACTGCAGCAGCCAGAGGACACGGCAGTCACACTGGAACGGGTTCCCACGGAGGTCCCTGGGGCAAGAGGCCGGGGCGGGGTTACAACATGGCCTTCACCCCTTGGGGCCATGTTCCTGGGCCCCTCCCCAGGCAAGGGTCTGGGATAGCACCTCACGGGTGTAGGAAAAATAGGTGAGAGTCTTCACAGACATGCTCCTGCACCAACCCAAAGTGGGCCCAGATGACCCGCCCAGCCCAGCCCAGTGCTCCCCCACCCCGCCCCCTTGAGCCTCACACGTGAGTCAGGGTCTCCAGGCCTCGGAACAGGAACCTGGGGAGGGCCTCGAGGTGGTTATTGGCCAGGCTTCTGGGGGAGAGAGAGAAGGAAGGTGAGCAGCTGCCTGGAGATGCTTCGCCCTTGGGGCTGAGGGTGGGGGCCTGGTGCTCGGGGAGGGGCGGGCGACCGAGGCACGCACAGGTGTGTGAGCGAGCGAAGTCCTCTGAGCGCGTTCTTAGAGATGGAGCCAATCTTGTTGTCCTCGATGAAGCTGTGGAGGGAAAGTGGGGTGAGGGGCAGGCCCACAGTTCCCGGGGGGCTCACCCCATGGAAGCCATGAGGCACCGGGAAGTGCTGCACCCCACCCCACCGCCTTGAGCAACCCCAGGGAAAGCCTGCTCACCAGGGGCCCAGCCTGCGACCCCAGGAGCCAAGGACCAGCCCTACAATCATTGCCAGCCTCACTATGAGCGCTGCTGCCATTGCCACTGGCATCGCACCAGTGCTTCTGTCCCCATTGCCAACCCCGGCACCAATAACTGCCATTATCCCTGGCTCCACCAACATCACCACCTCTTGTGCCGTCACCTTACCAACAACATCCGTAAGCATCACCGTGCAACTTCCGGGACCAACACCAGAAGACGACCACCATCGTCGCCAGCCCTGCCACCGTTGTTACAAACCGGCGGTGCCCATGCCAAACGCATCGCTGTTATTCCCAGTGCTCACATCACCCACGTCACTAACACCTGCCCCACAGACTTTACCACCAATGGCGCCATAACCACTGGGACCACCATATTTTTTCCCTCCGTCCGCTCTCCCTGCCTTTGCAGTACTAGGGATTGAACTCAGGGGCTTTGCATTGAGCTACATCCCCAGACCTTTAAAAATTTTTTTTTCTTTAATCCTTGTCTGGAACCAGCCTCTACCTCCCCTACTCTGGGATCCACAGAGAGACCCCCTGCTCCTCCTCCCAGCCCCGCGCCTCACTCACAGGTACTGCAGGTGGGACAGGCCAGCAAACGCGTCATCTTCAATCACGGAGAAGGAGTTGGACGTGAAGAGGCTGGCCAGGGAGCAAGGCAGAGAATGTTCCAGAGCTGGGGATGCTTTCTTGACATTCTAACCCTGCCCCACGCTCAACCTGCACAGGCAGGTGCACACACACCTGTACATGGGTGTGAGTGTGTGCACGGATACAGACGCTTTTATATACTTGTGTGCTCACAGCCTCACACATGCAAGAACCTGGCCTGGCCATGGCCGGGCTCCACCCACCCCCCCACCAAATACCCACGCCCTGCAGCTGGGGTTGGCCCAGCCAGGCCCTACTCACAGCAGGTGCAGGGATGGCATCCTCAGAAAGCTGCCGGCCTTCAGCTGGGTGACTCCAGTCCTGACAAGTGAGCTGGGCACGTGCATGGGCAGGAGTGGGTGAGGAGAGAACCTCTCCCACCAGTGATCTGGTCTTGAACCAGAGCCCTCTGCTCTCTGGGAGCCCATGACCCGTGCCAAGGTGCATTTTGCTACATCCTGGGGCAGCTGCCCTCCTCGCTTGGCAAGGGTCCTGGCAAACATTCAGCTCACCCTCTGGCCCCAGGGCTCCCCCTGTACCCTCCAAATCCCAGGAGCCCCCTTTCACTCCTCCCGACATCCTTCGCTGTCCAAGATCCTGATAGGTTCCCGATTCCTTTGGGACCCCGGCACCCCCCATCTCTGGGGTTCTAGGGCTCCCACCCCCACCTATAGGCCCACAGAGGGCCTGAGGGCCTGACACTCACAGCGACAGCAGCGTCGGGGAGAAGCTCTCGGGCAGGTCCAGGGAGCCCTCACACAGGGCGCTGTCCTTGGAGCAGGAGCAGCGTAGAGGACACTTTCCCTTTGGGGGTCTCCAGGCCACCCCCACCCCTGCCCCGGCCAGGAGCAGCAGCCGCAGCAGCAGAGTCCCTGTCCCTGCCATGCCCCCTGCCCTGGACCTTTGCCCCCTCCGCCACTTCTCTCGGACCCAGTTTGGCTGGGGTGCTACATCTCCCGTGCCCAGCGGCCCTGCACCCCGCCCCAGGGAGCGCTGCCCGGCTCCCAGCTCTCCCAGCCCGTTGTTGCCCCTCTTCCTCTTTGATTTTCTGCCTTTCTCGCTCCCTGTCTTGCTGCCTCTCCCTCTCCGTTAGTCTGCTTCCCCCTCTCAATCTTGGTCCCTCTTTCTGGCTATCTTTGTTTCTGTTTCCCTGTCTCTTTAGGTCTCTGTTGGTGTGTGTGTGTGTGTGTGTGTGTGTGTGTGTGTGTGTGTGTGTGTGTCCCTCTGCCTGGTGTCTATTTCTCAGCTCCCTGCCCCCTCTTTCCAGAGCCCAGTACTGTCTCTGCCTCCTCCCACGCCCCTTCTCCCTGAAGATTTGGGAAAGAGACGTGCTGGGCCCAGGATGTGCCAGGCAGAGTGGGGTAGGAAGGAGGAGGGGGTCAGAGGCCATAGGAAGAGCAGCCCTGGGGGACTGAATGGCTCTTTGGGAGGGGGCGGGGCCACCCAGGGCTGGAGCCACCCTGGCCACTCCCAGCGAGCCCCCTCCCCAGATTGCCCACTCAGCCCTATTTCCCGGGAGCCCAAGGAGGATGTCACTGGGGTGGGGACTGATGGCTCTGCAGACAGGAGGAGGGGGTGGGAGGAGCATACTGGGGCCGGGGGACGTCCTGGCCACTCCCAGCCAGCCCCCTCCCCAGGCTCCTGGAGGGTGTGGTGGGTGCTGTCACCAAGGCTTTGCGGGGGCCAGCGTAGGTCCAGCTGCTCCCTCTGGTGGCCACCCTTGGAAGGACGGCTGCCCTGCCCCAAACACTGGACGTCCCTCCCCTCCCCTCCCCTGAGATTAACCCTTCAAATGCTCAGACACATTTGGGACAGACACTTAACCCCAGGAAACACTTTGCCTCAGTGATGCTATCTCTTTCTTCAGCATGACCCCACACCAAGCTGTGTCTTCAGTGTTCCCCTCCGGACCCTCATCTCACCACTGGGGTCGTTACTGTTCTCATCGCTCGCTACTTTACAGCTGGAGAAACTGAGGAAAGAGGTCAAGGGACCTGAGCTCAGTGTGACCCAGATGGAGGCAGAGCCAGGGTTCAAACCCAGAGGGCTGGCTCTACGACCTCTCTGTGTGATTTGTTTGTTTTTGTTTTTTTTTTCTGGTACCAGGAATCGAACTCATGACCTTGTGCTTGTCAGGCAGGCACTGTGCCGCTGAGCTAAATCCCCAGCCCCCCTTTCCATGTTATTTTGCTTTCTTTCTTTGGAGATCAGAATTCATGAGTACTTGTCTGTCCATTAAATGCAAAAAATACAAAAAATGATACTTGTTGCCCAATGTGACCTAGTACTATTTACTGAGTACTGACTGTGCGTCTGTCTGTCTTTACACGAGTTGACTAAGTGCTCACGGCAACCCTGTGAGACCAGAAGTATTGCTATGTCCCCTTCACAGGTGGGGAAGCTGAGGGGCATGGAGGTTAATTAATTGCTCTCATGGTGTCCCTCGCACCTCACTGCCTGGGGTCAGGAGACACACCCCCAGACTGAGGAATACACATAGCCTCTCTGGCCCTGGAGTGCATGCCCAGAGAGGACTTGGAGGATCAGAGGCTTAACGGCCCCATAGAGATCCAGGGTCCAGCCCAGATCTGTTTGGCCTCAGGCAAGTCATTCACCCTTCCAGGTTCTGTTTTCCCGGTTTGAGGACAGGACTCAGTGTGATGGTGAAAGTAACACACCCTCTTGGGGTTCAGCACAGAATGGGTACCCCAAAGTGGTCAGCAGGTTTGGGGACAAACTCTGGCTCCAGGTCCTCGTCCTGCACCCAAACAGCTTGTGATTGGAGCAAGGCCCTTTGGCTCTTGGTTTTCCCAGCCGAAAAGCAGGAGTGATGAAGCACTTTACAGGGTTTTTGAAAGTGCAGAAGAAGCGCTTGGTGCCAGAGACACACGGAAGACAAAGATAGGCCTGAACGCACACGGGCAGCATGGCTGGCCCCGCAGTGTCCTCACGCCAGTGTGCACGAGGAGGGTGACCGTGACAGTGATGACAGCTAACTTTCTTTTTGGCAGTAGGTGGGATTGAACACAGGGCCTTTGCACTGGGCTCCATTCGAAGCTCTATTTATTTATTCATTCATTCATTCAGAGACAGGATCTCACTAAGTCACTAGGTTGCCCAGGCTGGGCTCAAACTTGTGATTCTCTTGCCTCAGCCTCCTGGAGTGCTGGGATTCGAGGCGTGCATCTTCATGCCCAGCTAGACAGCTAACTTTTTAAAAAAAATCACCATGTGCTGGATTTTGTTCTCACTGTTCTGGGCTGTTCAGATAATCATCTCAACCTCCCTCAGGTGGATACTCTTCCTTTCCATTTTACAAAGGCAGCAATGGAGTCACAGGGAGGTTAAGTCACTGGCAACACGACACAGATGGAAAGTGCTAAACTCTTCTGCCCTGACACCTAAGGCTCCAGAGTTAGCTCCATCCCGGAAGGAAGCTGGGTTGGCCAAGAGCTGACCAGACGCCCTTCCTTGTTTGGCCCTTTGTGTCCCCTGCTCCCCCTCCCCATTGCATAAACAGCAAGGTTATCATTAACCAGGGACTGTGGGTGACCTTGGGGTGCCCAGCCACCAGGGGCAGAGGCCAAGAGGACTCAGACGACAGGGATATGGGAGCCTGTTGAAGCTGCCTGGGTTCTCTGAGACCAGGTGTGTGTGTGTGTGTGTGTGTGTATGAGTGTGTGTTTGGTGTGTTACACCCATGCATGGGTGTGAACCTGTATAAATGCTCTAGACTCTGTTCTGTAGTATCTGGGCAGGCTTCTGACAACTGAAGCATGGGATAGTTCTATCTTTTACCAGCAGGGGACCTCTGAAGAATCAGCTCCACTTGGCTAAACCTCAGTATTCCCATCTCTAAAATGGAGCTGATAAGACAATGTCAAGTTCAGAAATCTTTGAGACTGGCCAGGGGTATATGTATGACCTTAACTATTTCTCCATCATATAATCCAGGAAATTGAAGGACAAGGAAGTCACAATGGCTGCCCAAGATCACACAAGCAGGAGTACAGAGTCCAATCCTGACCTTAGGTTTCTCTGTCACCAGCACCTGTGGGTCTGGCTTGCCCACGAAGACACCAGAGATGTTTTCCTCACGGGGCACAGAAGTCCAGGGAAAGAAAAGGTCAAGGCTAAACATACCTTTACGGTTCTGGAGTGGGTGAGCCATGTGTCAGGCCCTTGTGCCTGCGACTCCGTGGTCAGCTGTGAGCTGTCTGCCCGCGTGTGGGGTGTGAGCACAGTGTGTGTGTGTCTGTGGCTATGTGACAGAGTGGCTGGTTTTACGGCAGTCTCCCTGACGCTGTGCCTGCTTGTGGCCATAGACATGTGGTCTGTGTGTACACAAGGGCTTTGGCCTTCACGTCTTTGCTGGCTGTGTCAGTGCCTTTGAGTTCATGTGTTCTGCGTGGAACCCTGCATTTCTGCAGGGCCATTTGTGAGCACGTCTTCACTAAAATATGTATCTTTGTTTCTGTTTGTAAGAGTGGATGGGTGTGTGGCTATCAGTGGCTCTGTACAGAAGCCATTCAGCACGAGTGTGTGCTTGTGCACAGATCTGTTCGTCTTGGTCTTTTGCATTTAAGACATGTTGATTGCGTGTGTGTGTCTTTGGGTATCTCCATGACCGTGTGTGTGTGTAAGTATGTGTCTGAGGGAGTGGTGTGCATCCCTGGTGGAATCCTAGTCAGCAATAGACGGCACACACACAGACGCATACACACTAACTCCCTGCCCTCACCCCACGAACAGCCCGACAGTACTGTCAAGGGTTTCACAGAACGTGGAGGTCAGAGGTCAGTGGGCTCCTAAGCACTTGGGCTGCCTGACCTCAGGCCCCAGCTGGGCCTAATTCCCAGGGAGCAGCACAGAAGTCACTCCCCTGCCCCAGCTCAGCACTCTATGCCAAGGTGAGCGTGTGTGTGTGTGTGTGTGTGTGTGTGTGTGTGTGTGTGTGTGTGTGTGTGTGTGTCCATACGGCTGGCCGGCTGTTCCTCAGTCTGAGCTGAGAGAGTTAACACAGCGGGCCAGGGCGGTCTGGGCTGGGGGCCGGCCCCTGGCCCCCCTCCAGCCTGGGCTCCAGTTACAGCTGCTGGCTGGGGAGGGCAGAGGTGGGGTGGGGCCAGGAGGGGAGCCTGCCGGGGTGGCGCATCCAGCTCTGAGCCAGGGGGTCCAAAGCGCTCAGCCCCCAGGGGCACAGCTGGACATTTGGGGGCCTTCTTTCAGCAGGGGACAACCTGACTGGGGTGAGCGTCCCCACCTCTTCCCTCCAAACCCCTTCCCTCCCCTGGCTGGGCAGCCTATTTTGGGAGCAGGAGTGGCCAGCCTGTGGCTTCCCAGGAAGGCCTGGCTCAAGAAGGAGGAGAGTGTGACATTGGGGTTCTGCAGGCGTGGGAGTGAGGGTGCGGCTCCTCCCTCCGCTGCCGTGTGAGTCCCCTGGCTGGGCGTGGGGTTCAGACACATGTAGGTCTGTTTGTGTCACTGTTTGGGGGAACTGGCGGCCCGGAGCAGATCTGTGTGTGTCTGACTGTGTCTATACCCCACCTTCTCCATTCCAGCCCCATCACTGTGTGTGTGTGTGTAATACGCATATTTGCAAGTGTGTCCCTGTCCCTGGCATCTATCTTTCCTCTCCTAGGCCCACAAGTGTGAGCCTCACGTCACTCTCCTGAGTTGTCTAGTTATGAAAGATGTCACCCGGAGGCGGGCAGAGGGAGTGTTTTCCCTTTTCTCATGGCTCCCAGGAGAGCAGGCTGGGTGGCCCTGCCCTGAGGGGCAGCCCTGTGGCCATGTGGCAGCTGGGCCTCCCCCAGCGGGGTTGTGCTTGACCCCCGGGTTGGGGGAGGAAAGCTGTTGCCATGGTAGCCCGAGAGAGGCAAATTCCTCCAGGGTGAAGTGGGAGATATTTATACCCAGGGTCAAGCGGACAGCAGGCGGGCACGGAGGGCAGGAAAGCCGCAGTTGTCCGGGATACTGTGAGGCCACCGAGTGGGGGGCGGGAGGAACTGGGGTGTGCCCAGCTGCATCTGTCTCTCCACCTGCCTCCCCTGCTGGGGTAGGTCTGGGGATTCGGGCCCTGCTGTGGGGGAGGAGGCCTGTGGAGAGGTCTGTGGACTGTCTCAGCCCTAACCTCACCGCGCTGTGCTCCATGTGACCCCCGTTATGTGAGTTGCTTCGGTGAAACGGTCCCAATCTGAGGAGCAGAGGGTGCCTGTTTCTCAGGCAACTAAGCCGGGTAACCAACACTTTCGTGACTAAGTCCCTAGACTGTTTTCGACTTAATCCCTTGGTTTTGGGGTGGTGGTGAGGGTACACACATGCCGTCCCTTTGCTGTCCCTCAGGACAATGGCATCCTTCACAGATGTCTTGGTTGTCTTCCTGGTTCTCTTCACCACGGCCAATGCAGGTGAGTAAAGGGAGGCTGGGCGGCGGGATGCACAGTTCAAGAACCAAGGGGAAGACCCTGCCATAAATGAACTCAGTCGGAACACCAGAAAATTAGGGGTCTCCGGGTAGGGTTCAATCCCAGGCCGGCATTTAGGTGAGGGGAGAGAGTGCTCTGGGTCAGATGAAGGGGGGGGGGGCCTGGAAGCTGGCTCCCGGATTGAGTGATGGAATCACCGACAACCTGTAAGACATCAGGGCGCTGGGGCAGTGAGATGCCCACTCCACCCAGGTCAGTACAGAGGGACCCAGAGAAGGTGGGCAGCCTGCCCAGGGTCCCAGACCCCCAAATTCTCAGCCTAGGAAGGTACAGCCCTCACATGGTCTTCTTATTATGCTCCTTCCAGCCCAAGAGCCCAAGAAGCATTTAACTCCTGCTTTCCCTTTCTTTCCAGAAGCACCGCAGGAGCATGACCCATTCACCTACGGTGAGGGGGAGCTGGAGCCAGGGCCTCGGTTTGCCCCCTCTTCTCCGGGTTTATATTTTCCGTCCTTCTCTCTTTCCCTTGCTGTGGCTGTCTTCTCCCCCTTGTCTGTCTGTCTGTTTTCCTTTGATCCCCCTCTGCCTCTCTCCGCTTGACCCAGTCTCTCAGTAACTCCTAGCCCATCCTCAGCTGCCCCCTGTCCTTTCTTCCCTCCCCGCCCCCTCCTCCACTCCGTCCTCCTTCCAGCCTCCACCCACCCAACCCTAACCCTAACCCAGCCCTGGTCTCTCCCTCCCCACCTCTGCGTCGCTCCCCGCTCTCCTCTAACCTCTACCTACCCCTACTACACGCCTTCTTCCGCTCCTCTTCCCTGGCCTGCCCACTCCTCCCCAGTCGGCTGCTGTCCTCCTCTCCTTGCCCTCACCCTCCTCACTGCTGCCCGCAGACTACAAATCCCTGCGGATCGGAGGCCTCACCATAGCGGGGATCCTCTTCATTTTGGGAATCCTCATTATCCTCAGTGAGTGGCTGCGCTGCGCCCCGCCCCGCCGCGCCCC